ACGAAGAGGAGGGGGGGGGCTTTTCAGCTTGATGCTTACTCAACTTTCGTTTCCATGATGATAAGTTTGACGAACCTTAGTAGATAGGTATCCTGTCTTTCCTGTAATCCTGGGCTTTTTCTACATAAAAATTAATCAAGGGCACGTTACGGAGCTTTTCATCCTATTTGTGTATTTCCATGATACAATAGCAACGCATGAATATTTTGCACTTATTTATCAACATATATTTTATTAATAAATTTTATAAAACAGACAATAATGATACATACTCTTCCAACTACTGTGAAAGTTTTAAAATTATTTTACCTAGTGGTAAAAGCGGTAAAGCCTTAAATCTTGTTCCCAGAACCACAAATAAAGTTTGGCTTGACAAAATGGTTTTGTCCTAAAGTTTTAAAAAAAGTTTATGAAAATTTTAGTATTAGTTAATTACGGCTAGAAAAGCAATTTTGATTAAAACCCAAATGTTGAATGTTATAATAACTACTTGGAGGTGTGATGCAATATTTTGCCAAATACGTAGATGTAGTAGACAAACTCCTAACGGGTTTCTCAAATTGAAAATTTAAAAAATTGCAATTTCATATATTTGATATAAAATTCTAAAAAAATGTGTAATTTTTTTTTTATTTCTATAAATTATTAAAAAATATTTTGATCAAAATAAGACATACTAAACAAAATTTGAAGACTCATTAACCATTTTTTAATAGCAAGTTTTGTATGGTGTAATATTGGGTGACTTAAAAAATAAATAAAATATCTTTTGCCAGTACAGCTATCACCTTTATAGTGAAGTCAACGACTTTATTCGAGAAGACCGATGTTCGTGATCGCAATGCAACAAGGATTATGGATTCATCAAAAGCTCTGTTCTTGGATACTTTCCAAATTCGGTGTCACGTTCCCTTTCCCAAAAACTGGAAATGTGTGATACTGCTGAGCTCATTTTCACACATTATCTCTTCTCTCCCTTTAGAACAATAATAAAAAGAAAGAAAGTTTTTTTTTGTGAACAATTCTCTTCACCGGGAATTATCGTCTGCTTTTCAACCCCTCTTTCACGCTTTCCAGTGTTCCACAAGAGATAATTTGTCTGGGAACGAGGATATTCAACCCACGAAATGGTACACCGTTGCCATTCTTTTTCTGTGAAGGGAAAAATGACAGTATGGCATTAAAAAACTGAAAAAGAATGGATTGAATCGAATTTCTTTACTGTCTGGTCTCTAAGGTTTAACGGCCAAAGTACGAAAAGCAAATGGCGTTGGAAATATTTCCAAACAGACCCATTTTTTGTTAGAGCTGTTGAATAAGTATGTAACAACAAGATTCATTTATCGTCTGAAATGCACGATCTTGGAGCGAATGACATTCATAAACGTGACATAAAGATATCATCATTAGTATTTTAGTTTTTTAAAGGTGTTTGAAACTTACACAAGTATATAACTTACACAAGTATTTCAAGTTAAACGTCGATTGTTTAATTGATTGTTAGAAAGTATATTCCCTACTTGGAAGAGAAGTGGGGACATTTAATATGAGTGGGTTCTAAAAAATGCTGGTTAGGAATATATTGTAAGTTTGCATAAAAACTGTGGTTTTTCTAGAGAAATTGATTGCAGATCAGTGGCGCAAAAATATCTCAGATCCATTAAAAAATTTCATGCATAAAAATATTTTCCAGTGTTATCGAAAATATATTGTAACACAGAAGGTAAAGCAAGGGAGGAGTTTTAGTTTATCTAAAAAAATTATTGCTTTCCCGTTATTGTGTTTTCAGAAACGATCTCAAAGATATATTCCAAATAATTTAAGTTAGAAGTTTCATTATTTTTAACTCTATGAGTAGGCCAGGCATGTTCTGAACGAACTTACATTTTCCCCATTTAAAGGTTTTCAAGTACTACTGAACCAAACGACTATTGATATGAATAATAAATAAGGAAGAAAGAGGCTAGCGTAGACAGGGTTCTAAGATTGTATATTTCTGCTATTTTTACTCAAAGTTCCTTTTTTAAATTTCGGAAGATTTGCAAAACTATGTTACATTTTCTTATGTAGTTGCACAACACATTTGAATTGACTTGATTAAAAATTTTCATTTGCTTCGAAAATATACAGATTGAAAATAAAAAACAGTTTCAAGCGTTCCAAAATAGGCACCCATTTCCAAGACTTGCCAGACGTGAATGAGAAGAAACAAAAATGATTTGAAATGTAAAACGTAAAGTTGTCAACAAAAACTATCAGCCAATTCAACTGCCAACGAATGTAAGACGATTATTAGAGAGAATGTAATGTAAAACGTAAAGTTGACACACCCTATCCATTGATACATAGGAAACTAAACAAATTATAAATATGACATCCCATTTATACTGTTAGTTAATATTTCAATCATAGTTACCTGTATCTTTCTATTGATAGCGTTTTTAAACCGGTGGCAGTTTTTATCCATCGTCAATAATGAAGAAGCAGAACGTAAGCATTTCAGTAGATTTAAAGATATTCAAACTAAAGTTTACATAGCACGAAGTGAAAAGCATACAATTTATAGTACTAAACTTTCTAACTATAATAACTAGCAGATTGACATAGGTGAAGCAAAAGAAAAGTGCGAAAAGTTCGTTCCAATCAAACTTACAGTGAAAATAATTCAAATTTAAGTTTATATGCATGTAACACAGCAAATTAATTGTAAAAATTATTTAAATTATATTTCAAGCGTATGGAGTGCATGTGATTTAAAATAAAATGGAATTTCGTACGACCCCTCATTTTAATTCCAGTGAACCAAATAAAAACAATTACCCACCACATATAGGACATTCTCCGAACATAAGTACTCTCTTTTTTTTTCTTTCTATTAAGACTCATCAATTCTATACTAATGCATGTTCTGATTTCCCGAATCAGCTCAAAACATGCTGGTAGAGAGTGAAAGAAAAAAGATCCAATTCACTCCCGTAGCTTGACCTCGATCCGTTTCCTCCCCTAATTATGTCAGACGTCTCTTAACCTCGACTTGTCTGAGGAAGCTTCCTTACACTGTGTGAATGCATACAGTGAAAACACTTCTACAGGATTCTCCCTGTCTACTCCTAGTCGAGGGCTTTCTTTCTCTTCCTTCGAGTGTTTTTTGACTCGAATTGAAACTTTGAACACAGTTAAGGTTAAATTTATCAATTGGGATTTTATTTTAGACTTGATAACATTCGTAGATAGGGTAAAAGTAGAATTTCACATAGTGTCTACTCTTATGTAGGTAACGGAACACAATTTATAATTATTACTTTACGAGTTTCAAAAAAAAAATGGACAATTTTTTAAATATTTTTTTTTTTTTGAATTTGTAAAATAAAACTACAAATTGGAATTTCTGTGTTAAAAACCATGTATTTTTTTTAAAGTTGTGCTATAAAGTTATACCATAATTCGCTAAATTTTGTTTCCATAACTTTGTATTAAATGAAAATATTTTTTTATTTTAATTTCATTATTATTTATTTTAATGTTATGTTTTCATGAGTAGTTTCTTTTTTTTCTTCTAAAACTTTTACTCCAAAATTCGACATATTTTCAATTTTAACAGCTCAATTCAAAAATTTGTTCACTTTCAGCAAAAATGACGGGAATTTTTTAAAAACATTCTAGCAGGATTAAAACTTTAATCATTGATTATATGATTTCTAAAAGCTTCTTATAAGCAAATAATTTCGAAAGTGATAGTTGAGGTTATGGGTTTGAAAGTTACAGCAAAACATCTCATTTCTTTTTATGTTGTCACTTTATTATTACTAAAGTGAAACTTTAAATACGTTTTCAAATTGCTCAGAGAGCATTTTTTGGGGAGAGGGGGAACACGCAGTTCCCATGTAAGCATTGAGGTGCTTCTGTGTATTGTTCTATTATTACATGAAATTTCAGGATAATTATAAAGTAACTATCTGAAAAATAACTAAGGGTCAATTTAATGAAAAAAAATGTCACATTTGGAAAACGTGTCGTTTATATCTATATTGCTATGTTAATTATATGTCATGTTTATCACAAATGTTACACAGTAGATCAAGAGATTTATTCAATGTCGGATTTCCAATCTTTAAACTACTGACATTTAAAATATATTTAAATGTTGTTTGTTCATTCACTTACAATAAGAAAAGTTTGTGCTTAATTTCTATTTGCTCTTGTTGCGTTCAAGTGATATTTGACATTATTTGCGGTAATTGTTATAACTCATTTTTTTGTACGAAGCAAGACACTGTTTTAAGATACACATTGTTTAAAAAGTACGAGTCAGGTGTGAAACTATTTTTTGAATTTTTTACACCTAAAATATTTTTTTAAAAAGGATAAAAAGTATGTTCGCTTGATACTTTAGTAGATTTAACAAGGAAGATTCAGTACAAATCAAGAAGTAAATTGTTCCACACATTACTTTCTGTAAATTAATTTCTTCTCGACTTAATTTTTTAGAACAAAATAATATCAAATATATCTAGAAGGAAAGATATTTATGAGAGTATAGATCGAGAAAAGGCATCATTTTAGAAAATTCTTATGTTTTTCTCATTGAATGAAACATTAGTGGTACATACATTATAAAATGACACAGAGTTTGCTTTTCACCACTATTCAAATATTTCTCGCTTAAAAATGGCAAGTTTGTAAAATTCGTAATAGTGTAAAAACGATAAGAAATATAATATTTGAGACAATATACTAAACAATATAATATTGAAAGCGAATAACTTCAGAATATTATTACAACGTTCTTTATCATTTTCCAAACATTGCTCTTGAGTCTAGAAAAACAATAAATATAGTTTCAAATTCGGAAGAAGAAATGATTGTTTTCATAAAAAAGGAAAAAAAGAAAATAACTGTGCGGTAGATTGAAGAAGATATGTGTGAGAGGGCTCAACATCATTCTAAACCAGGCGGAGAGATACATACAACACAACACACTCACACACATGCACCGCGATTGCGCGCGCAACACCCCGTTGAGGGTCGGACCGATGGAGAGGCAGTAACAATATGGAGGCTGGAGCCTTCTCCTCCGTGCACGATTGGATTCCATGGCGGCTACCTTAAGAGCCCGTCATATTAAGCACATCGGAAATTACCGAAGGATAGGTGCTTAAAAGATGTACCATACTGGTACACTGAACTCCAAGATGTAGGAACAGATCTAGAGACCGGTTTAAGGAGCGATTATTCTAAAAGAAGGATCATTGAGGAAGAGGAAAGAGAATATTCTAAGCCTAATTCAGTGTTTCGAACGGATTCTTGAAGAAAAGGACTACGGGCATCAAACTAGGTCCCCCGGTGATCGGGGGCAGGTGCCCTTTTCCGGGGATATGGGCACGGTTTATTCGGACCCTTTCCGATCATTCAAAGGTATGTAAGATACGGATTTTTTCTCTAGACTTAGATGGTAGTTTTATTGATCGCTCAAATCATTGGTTAACGAAAAATGGAGCGAGAATACCTCTTCTCTAGAGGCTATGACACTCTCCATAAATCATTGATTTTAAAGTAATTAAATATTCTTATAATTAATAATCATGGGGGGAAAAGTATGATTTCGTATTGTAAATATTGCAAGAAATAAGGAACAATGTTTAGAAGTCGTGCAATCCTGAGTAAAAAACATAACTCTTTGACTTTTTCTGTTTTATTTTACTATGTAGTAAATAAAATGTATTACTAATATTTAAAAACCAGCTAATTATAATTTACAAATTTAAATTAAAGAAAATAATATACAATAATTAGTTTTGTTATAAAAAAGACATTTAGATTTTTAAAAATGTTTGATTTTTAAATAGATAAACATTTTTAAAATTAATGCAGATAAAGTATAAAATATAATTTTATGATTTGAACTATAGTATAAGAAAAAAGAGCAATGTCGAGAAATCTTTTAAAATTTTAAAATGAGAAAAAAATAAATAACTCTTCAGAAAAGTTTTTTATTTTTCAAAATTTTAGTTAAAATAATATATGATAACAACAACTTATATACAAAGAACAAGTATAATTTACAAATAAAAACTGCAGGTTAATGGTTCACTTATGCAGTTTTTAACATTTTTAAAGAAATGGGGTATAAGATTATGTAAAAGTTTTGATTAACACAGACACGCACTTGAAAAAAATTATAAAAAAAAGTTTTTTTTTTCGAGGGAGTGACGATGAAAATAAAAAATAATTCGAGATTTTCGAATTTAGAGGTCAACTCCTGAAACATAAACAATTTTGAACTATTTCTTTAATTTTTTTAAACAATTATTAACAATTAACAGTATTAAATACATATTTATGTATGCATATATATTAACAACATATTTATCATGCTTGTTTAATATTTAAGAAAACTTATTTAATTTTACAATCAATTGCTTGAAAAAATAAATTCACTTATCTTCTTAAAATAAAATAGGTGGAAGTTAAATTGTTTTCAAAAGTGAAGCTCTGTACGATGAATAAAGCAACACAATTTACTGGTATCTGAAATCATCTTAAATATTGATTCAGATTTCGAATTGTGTGACTAAAACTATTTATTCCATTCTGATATAACATTAGCATAAAATTGCACTTTCGTATTCAAATAAGTTAAGGTAAGTTAAAATGAATAAATAATATCTTTTATTAATCAAATTATAGATAAATCAATAAGATAATGTATGTATTTTTCAATTAGTAAAAGATTTGCAGCTATTTATGACAATAGAGCTTTAAATTGCAGTTATTTAACAAAATTTAAATGTTTCTCATTACATTTATCATTATTTATAAAATAAAACAAACTTTAACTAATTGATTAATGGTTTTGGCAAGAATATTATTTGATAATAAACTTAAATTATTAAATATCTGGATAAATGGATAAAATAAAAATTCCGTGGGTCAAGGAAAATTCATTTATTAAGTAGAAAATATAAAATTATTAAAAATTATTTCAGTGTGATAATTTTTCTATTCTTTCGAATTCGCAATTTATTAATTCATCTTAGTTAGAATTTGTTCTTTCCTCTATTCAAAATAATTCTATGATATCTGATGTCTGCATTTTTCTTTAGTCCAGACATCATTTTGGTTTATTAAGGATTTTTGACAAGGATAATATATATTAAGGGTGTTATATAATAATATATATATACTACGGTACATTGTGATCCTAATACTACAGAAAATATATGGAAATTAGGTATAGGAAAATACCATGATCCAAAAATAATTTGAACTCTGGTAGAGAAGAACATTTTGGTATTTGATTGCAATTATTAAGTTTAGAAAAAATATGCAAATTAAAATAAAAATTAAAGATTGCTTTAATTTAAAAAAATTAGCTTTAGCATAAAAGACTATATAATAATTAATAGTTATCAAATTTGGTTAATTAGAGCCAATCGTATGCTGCAGTATTTTCCGTTATTTTATAATCATCGAGAACATATCTGAATATAATTTAAAAAATACATTTATATAATAATAATTTTTTAAAAACAAAATTAGATCATCATCATCTACGCAGCATTTATTCATGAAAGAATTTGATCAATAAAAGATTTTTATTGATTATTCTAAGGATAACATGTTGAAAATAAAATTCTAAACACGATATTCAAAAATACAATATAACACACGTAAAAGTAAATAGCACAACAATATGAAAGTTTATAAAAGAACACAATATGCACGAAAGTTAACAGAGAAGCACGAAATTTGAAATAGTTTAAAAACAGTAGTATATAAATGCTATTAATACTCATACAAAAATCATTCCTTTCGATGTAAATTTTTTTTATGCTTTGATTTTTAGAAGTAAATTAAAAGTTTTTGTGGTTAACTAGTTTTTCTCTAAATTGTAAATTAATGGTGTTTAAAGAAAAGGAATAATCTATTTATCTGTACTTTCCATACCTGTAAACAACCCTATCAAAAAATAACTATATCCGTACTTTCATTTGTGCCTTATTCACGTTGCTTTACTCTATATAGCACAAAAGTATATTCTTTTGGATAAATTATTTAATAATTACAAATTATGCGTTTTTGGTTTCAATCTCTAACGAGCTCCAAAAACGCATAATTTGTAATTATATAGTAATTTTTTGTTTACACTATAATTTAAACAAATAAATTTATCTATTAAATAAACTCTCTATTAAAATAATTATATATTATCAGCAAAATATAGGAGAATATCAATAAATTAATTATCCGTAAAATTGAGATGATGAATTAAAATAGTATGCAATATTGTGGTGTAATCATTAAATATGGGTCTTATTTTTATCAGTTATGTAATTTTTTTTATAAATTTATTGTAATACATTTTTAGAAGCAGTGATGCTCATAAATTTAAAGACGCTTGCAAATCATGGATATATTATTATAGTCAAATTCTTTTTTTTCTTTAAATAATAATGAGATCATGTCACAATAATATGAGAGAGTACCTAGAAATAGTCTAATTTTAAGGAGTTGAAAATTTTCTATACGTTTTAAATAGATCTGTTTTTAAGTGTGAAAATTGATATAAGCTGTAACATGCGTTTAAATAATTGAAATTATTCGCAGATTTATTATTTTGACTCTCGAAAAAAATGGATGATATATATTAATCAGAGTTTTTTTTGTAAATAATAATGCTTTTTGAGTTCTTCCATTTATACAAAAGACTAATACCTCCTAACTTTCTATTAAAATTTCACGCTGAGTTAAGTTTCATCAATGGAAATTAAGCTATATTATATTTTACTTCGGATATTTAAATTTGAAAGTATTATTGCGAAATATTTACCAGACAAAATATTAAAGTTCCCATAACCCTTTAAAAAAGAAAGCTCAGACGCTTTTGAGCGAAGTAGAAGTTCATAAAACAATCACGACCGCCACAAAATATTTGCAGTGCTAAATACATATTTGAGGTTCAATTTTTTTTTCTTATGACAAATGGTTTTTAATCTAAAGTGGTATTTAAAACCAAAAAGTATTTTCCTACTTAACTATAAATTGAACATCATTTTCTTTTCCTCAATTCCTCTTTTTTATTGCAGAAGTTGAATTTATTTTATAGAAACAATAAATTAATAAATGTCTACCATTTAAAAATTACTACTACGGAATAATTTCCGACTTAAAGAACTCTGGAGTAATACATCTAGTCAGGATTTAATTATGCTTACGTAAATAAGAAAATTTTATAAACATTTTGTAGAGTTTGAAATGCCAAAATATAAAATACCAGTACTCATTGTTTTAGAAATGCTTTTATGCATTTGAACTATAAATTTTATTCTTACTTCAATTTAGATTACAGTTTGAATGAAGAGTATAGGTTTAATATTTTATGGCTGACTCGTATGAAAATGTGTGTGAAAATTTAATTTCGAATGAAGTGATCACTCTATTCAGGGCTAGAAAAAACTTGGGTTGATTTTTTTTACGTTTTAAAAACCTACTTTGTTGGGTACTTTTTATTTAAAATCTTTAACTTACTGTTTAACTTAAGAAATATTAAATTTAATTAAAAGATTCATTTAGAAAGCCAGCATTAAAACTTATATTACAACACATTTCGTTTTTAATAATTATGTCATTGTAACTCATAAGTACTTTGTAATTTGGAGAAAAATAGTGATCGAAACTTTTCAGTAGATTAGTTTTAATACTAACGTTAGTTTTGAAGAATTCATAATGAAAATAATAACTAAATAATTGAACAAACAGCAAATGAAAGGATTATGGAATAATACTGAATTTTGTAAAATTTTATCAATGAAACCCACCAATCATGAATTATTTTTGTCATTCTGAATTATAATTAACACCGTTAAGTTGTAATTAAATAAATAATATCTGTCGTTAACTTTAGTTATTGAAAAGTATTTTACATCTATAACAAACTCATTTTTTATTATAAACTAGCCGCCAAAGGCGCCCAGCTGTTCGCCAAGCTAAAGGTTTTCACAAATAAAGTTTTTTAAAACATAGCCGGAAATCTGAAGATTAGTGGACAATTAAAGTGTTCCTGTCCAGCAATTTTGTCTTCATATCCAGTTCTGCTGCAGATGTGTTATAGCTCTTGAGGATGTTTGAAATTATATAGCTANATTTTATAGAAACAATAAATTAATAAATGTCTACCATTTAAAAATTACTACTACGGAATAATTTCCGACTTAAAGAACTCTGGAGTAATACATCTAGTCAGGATTTAATTATGCTTACGTAAATAAGAAAATTTTATAAACATTTTGTAGAGTTTGAAATGCCAAAATATAAAATACCAGTACTCATTGTTTTAGAAATGCTTTTATGCATTTGAACTATAAATTTTATTCTTACTTCAATTTAGATTACAGTTTGAATGAAGAGTATAGGTT